CTCTTCAGCTTGTATCTAATCAGATACACCCTTATATTATATGTTTTTGGGTGGATAAAAAAGAATGTGACATACCTGTATTTTCAGTAATAATCATGAAACAAGACAAATATTGAAAATAGCCAGATAGGAATCTGTCAGAGACCCAGGGGGGCTGTTCCTCACCAGGCTCGCCGGCGCGGGCATTGGGCACAGGCCGCTCCTCCTCCTGGCAGGGCATCTGGCGCTGGTGTGGCCGGTGCGCATGCACGAGTCACGCGCCAGGTGCGCGTGAGGGGTACACAAGCCGCGCGCGCATGCCCGGAAGCGTGCGCATAGTGCGTCTGCGCCATCCCACATCCCAGGTGCTACTCAGGCTGGGGGAGGACTTCAGCTTCACCAACTGCCCTCGGCCTTGTGATTGGCTCCTGACTGGGGAAGCTTCCTGGTTGCCCTGGCAGCCAGGGGGTGGTCCTGGGTTCCCTGTGTATATAAAGCTGGTCAGAGCCTTGACTCATTGCTTAGTTATTTTACCTCATGGTGAACACCCAGCTCCCTCCTGTGAACCTGTTATTTGATCTGACTTCCCGGCTACTGACCCTTTCGCTTGACCCATCGACTACGATTCTTGCTGCCTGCCACGACCCGGAACTGGACTTAACTACTTTATTTGCATTACCCTTTTGTACTGCGCTTTTGGGCATATTTCGTCCCTGCCAAGGGGTTCCACACCCAGCCCATTATCTCAGCCCTGACAGAATCACAGACAGGGAAAACCCTACCTTATATTAGTCAGGTATCATCCCCTTACATTGGTGGTCAGTGGAGAAATGTCCCCCTTACATTGGTGGTCATTGGAGAAATGTCCCCTTATGTTAGTGAAGAAATGCTTCCTTGCATTGGTGGTCAGTGGAGAAATGTCCCCTTACTTGTTGGTCAGTAAGAAATCCTACCTTACATTGGTGGTCAGGTATTATCCCCTTACATTGGTGGTGAGTGTAGAAATGTCCACTTACATTAGTGGTTAGTGGAGAAGTGCTTCCATACTTTGGTGATCATTGTAGAAATGCTCCCTTGCATTGGTGGTCAGAGGAGAAATGCTCCCTTACATTGGGGTAAGTCTAAGCAGCATACCAATCTATCATTGTTCAAGGAACCTCTAGCAACCTCTGAGGAACCCTACGGTTCCACTGAGCCCTGTTTGACGATGGTTTACTATCATTATGCTTAAAACTTCATTCCAGACAAATGTGTACCTCAGCTTCAGTAAACTTCCACTGGGCTGGATCACAAATTACCAGTTAGAGCAATGGAAAAAGCTCCAGACATAAGGGTAAACCTGCATATGTGATTACTCAGATGAAAAGTGTTGGAATAAAATACCATACATCAAAAGAAAGGGCTTATAGCTGAATCACCAGTCTGTATGACAGATGATTAATTGGGAGTCACTGTTAAGCACACGAGGGGCCCAGACTCATTGCTAAGGAAAATGTATAAAATGAACAGCTAAATATCATGAAAAGGTACACAAATTCTAATAATAGGTTTCATTAGATTGTAAGCCCTCACGGGCAGAGCCCTTGTTACCATCTTGTCTTGAATTGTAATGTGATTGTAATGTCTTCCTTATATTGTAAAGCACTACGCAAACTGTTGGCGCTATATAAATCCTGTATAATAAAAATATTAGCGCTTCATCTCTAGACCTTAGTTGATGTAACATAACACTGCTGTTATCTTATTCTTGTATGGTTCCTGTGAAGTTAGCAGTTACCTGGGAGACCATCCCTAATGGATGCAGAGCTGCCAATGATAATCATGAGGATGACCTCAGAACAGTGATGCACCTGATAGATTCGGCAGCCTCAGATAAACTAGTTGTTCCCTTTGGACACAAGTGTTGTATTGCAGCCTGCTTATCTGAGTATTTTAAGCTTGTAGCAAGTAACTGATTTTCCATGGCTAGAATCTGTGCCTAATTGCTGTCCCCTTGAGTAATTAAAACCAGGCCTGCAAGGAATCATTCTGGAGCATACTGCTCTGTAAGGATTTGCGGGCCGTTCCAGCAATTCAATTCCAGAGAATGTAAGAGCCATAGATTTAGGAAATTAGCATCAGCCCTCAGACTACAGTATTATTTACATTCTAGTGGAGCATGACTAGACCACATCAAACATCTTTTTGACAGCACAAAAACAAAATGTTATATACATTTATTTTTCAGGATGTCTGCACTAAAATGAGCTTTAGACAGGGGTGGCTCAAAAGAATGTGAAACCTAAGCTGAATATAAACTATGGGCCTAAAGTTTATGGTCATGTCATATCGCGTCAGCATGGTGTCATGGGATGTGTTTAAAATGTGATAGACATTTTATTCTCTTAATTCTAATCAGCCTCTTACCCAATACCCACCCCTCCAAATCATAAAAAAAATCCCCAGTTTTATAGGGAATATAACACTTCTGTAAACTGCAGTATAAAACCCACTACAAAAGTGAAATCAACCTGAGAAAACATAAAACAATAAATCATAGGCAGCACACATAATAACATATAAACAAATCTGTAAATCAAGCAAAATCAAACATTGCACAGAATTCCATGTTAATATGTAATATCTTGAATAGTGATTTGGTTCATGTATGTCACCACACAGGATCCGCAAAAACGTTATCTGTTCACGGTTTGCTTGACAGGCAGACTTATGGGTGCATTCGCCTTAGCATCAAATGCAAACCCCCAGTAGACTCTTAAGTGACAAACTATAGTATTCCACTTCACTTTTCCATTTTTCTCACTAAAGAGATATTGCTACAATCTACATGACCAAAGCCAACATCTTAAGGTCTAGGTAATACAATGATTTGAGCTCTATACCATTGGTCATCAACCTCATCATGCTTAGCGATATTTACCCGATGACATCTTGGATACATTTGTTCATTCTCTATCACTACGGATGCATTTTTAAAATCTACATACCGGTAACTAATGTCAACATCTTGAGGACTAGTTAATACAATGATTTAAGCCCTGTACCTTTGGTCATTTTTGGCCATCATCCTCATTATACTTTGCTACAGTTGCTTGACCAATTACTGATTATCCTTATCATACTTAACGACCGGTTACTGGTTTTGTAACTGTAATATATCTGGGTGTTTTAACTGAGCACAGTAATGTAAAAATCAGACATTTGTTGAAATATATTTGCACAATTGTATCATAAATAAAATGCAAAGTATGTTTTTTTTTGGCAATGTGAGGAGCAGGAACACATTTAGAAGGTATACATATTTTGTTAGTCAAATATAGGGTCAGGTGAAGTTTATTTACACGTATTGTTGATGTTATATCAGTTAATATAAACAGATTGTACCCTGATGATTGGTATTAGCTAGTTTAAATGCCTCCAGACCTTTTTGATCTCTAGAATAAATTCAGATATAATAAGTAGGGTTGACATTTGCCTCTTATATGATAGATCATTTACACATATTTGAGTTGCTTTTGTGTTTATGGAGGCAGTGTCCTCCATAAACACAAAATCAAATTAATTAATCCATTTAGTGCTAGACCAATAAGATGCCTTATCTCTAATACCTCTGTTTATGTATGAATTCTGGATTGTATTTTAATCATTTTCATTCAGATTGCCTCCCCTGGCTGGCTGCCCACTTGCTCTTCTATTTCCCTTATGTTCCTGGCTGCTGTTTTTTTGGGGGGGGGGG